GGAGTCCTGTTTCGGCACTTTGGTTCGGAGTTGTCGTCCCATCAAGAGCTGGGCCGGGCTGAAGCCTGTTAGGTTTGGCCTGGGGATTCATCTCTCAATCCCTTCGGCGCCCAGTCTTACCGACGCTGTCAAGTATTTGAGTGATTATTCCAGACCAGGCGGCGGGCAGAGGCGAGTTCACGTCCTTCAAAAGCGGACCTTTTGTCGTCGCTTCAAGCAGAAGCGGTGACTAATGGACTCGGCGACTCATCGGGCGACGGCAAAGCTGTCGTGGCTGGCGCCGGAGCTGACAGAGGAGCGGTGCTCCCTTTTGATCCCCAATCACCAAGCCGACCGGCCGACTGCCTATGCTCGTCAGGCACTGTACGTGCTAGCCGGAGGACCAAGACGTCGTGTCGCCAAGACGCCATTAGCCGTTCGAGAGAGGCCAACAAAGACGGCGTCTTTCTGAAAGAGACCGCGACGGACAGCGCACGCAGATCGCCCCGCTAATTGGGCGAGCTGTGCAGTGGGCCCTTTGAAGTATGCGGCCAGGATCGTGGGAACGCTCGTCTAACGGCACACCCACGACGAGGACCAGCCCTGCTGGCGCCACCACCGTGCAGTGTTCACGTGGACCTTGTATGCTCGCCTCCCTCACCTGTGTGTGCGTGATTGGTGTTCGACTCTGAGAGGAGGAGCCCGACAGGGCATAAAACGACGCGGAGAGTGCTGGACATTGCGCTCTCTGAACCTGGCTCTGAACTATGTAGTGTTCAACCACCACACTCGTGGTTTGTTAAACCACTATCCCTTCTTTTCTGTAAATAAGTGTAAATAATGTCATAAACCTCTGTTATGTTTCTCGTATTCTCTTGTCAGCGTTCAGTTCCTCCATCCGGATGCCATCACCTGCAACATCTTCCTTTCCATCTCTTACAACTGGTGGCAGCGGTGGGATGCCATCAGCGAACGACCTTCCTTCCCATCTCTTACAACTGGTGGCAGCGGTGGGATGGACTTCGCGACATGGTGCTGTGCTGTGGTGAGTGCTTGGTCTTTGCTATAACTTTCCAGGCTTCATTTCTTGAGTGTGCGTTGATTAGAAGCTGGATTGTGTGTGAGTTAGGGAGATCACCTGTTTGTGTGTTAGAGGGATCCCCTACATTTGTGTGAGATGCAGGACCAAAGTACAACGGCAATCATGTCGTGGAAAGCAATGCTAAGAGATGAACTTTTGTGTGTGAGTAAGCATCTAGGCATTGAAATAGAGGAAAGAATGGGCAGGACAGCGATTTGGATGCTGATCTCGCAAAAAGCCAGTGAGGAGGATATTAAAAACGCAGTAGAGATTTTTGAAAAGCAGGAAATTGAGAAACAAGAAAAGAAAATAAGGAATAGAAAAGAGCGGCTCGATCAATTGGAACAGAAAATCGAGGCAATGAGGCGAAAGAGTCAGCCATTCGAAACTGTAGCGCACGAGAAGTGCGATAATCAAATGAGTGAGGTGCAGTTTAGAGCCAAAGAGAAGGCTAGCACACGTGAACATAGCAGCAGATTCAAAGGCGAATCTAGTTTGAGTGCTGCGAATGATGCTGCGCCAAGTAGAGAGGCCGACGAAGGCCAGAGCAAGTGCGACGAGGTGCTGTGCCAGTTAGCTGTTAGCGAAACAGCAAGGATAGCTGTAGACAATCTGGCACAGACCTCAACTGTGTTTGTCGCAACGGTGGATCTTGCAAACAGTGTGGAAGTACGCAAGGACACCGAAGAAAGCTCAGAAGCAGCGAAAGTAGGTAGCGGGGATATCAGTGCAGTCGCAGACAGCTCTAAGCAATGCGAGCTAGAGTGTTTGCAGGAAAGCAGCTGCACTGTTCCTAAAAGCGTCAAGCTGTCCGCCGATCTAGAGTGTGAAATAGGTGGGTTTTTCGAAAATCATCTAGACGGAGCGGCGTCGACAGCTGACGAGTGTAGTGAGAGGGTTAGCCACCTTGAGCTGCGAGCAGTAGGCTCAGAGACGAGTCGCAGGAAGCAGCGCAGACGCAAGAGACGTCGCAAAGTCGCGAGTGAGACAAGCAGCTCTACGCATGTTCAGAAAAGTTTGAGGCCTATTAGCGCAGCAAGCAGAACTAGGCATTTTGCGTCAGTGACAAAGTTCATTTGTATACGTCTGAACTGCCGGACGAAAGAAAAGGGACCAACGGGTCCATCGCAAATGAAATCAAATGGGAGGCGCCAGGTTAGTTGGGTGCGTGAGTACAAAGTTAAGACAAAGGAATCGGCCCGACATGGCATCAGTGCTAGGAAATCGAACTGGCAAAATAGTGTAGCAGGTGGTACAGAAGAACCCTCGAGCTGTAGAGCAGCCGATGACGCAACCCGAGGCGAACTTCCTAGTTGTGAGAAAACGGGTCGCAAGCGTCGCCGTAGACAGGTGAAGGGTACGCGCGCGACAAAGCGAAGGCACAAAGGAGGAAGCAAGCATCGGGGAAAAAGGAAAGAGGGTGGCTCATCGGCCAGTTCAGCGAAGAGGCCTTTGTGGCGGGAAGTAAAGCGCCAGCGGCGAAAGGGTAAACCACAGCGCGCATTCGCGAGACAATATGCGCAGTGGAGATTTAGGGCTTTTCATGGAAAAGAGTGCCGACGTGGTCCTAGAAGAAAGACCACAATAGCTAAACACCGCTCGGCTAGACCAAATAGGACCCCGTCACTCTTTCCCTTGCATTGCTCGGGTTCCCTCGGCCGGATTGACAGAGGACGGCCGAAATCGCAAATGAGGCGTAACGCTGCCGTTCAGCTGGAAGCACGTGCTCGTTGTAGACTCGGGCGCCCTCGAAATCCGGCAAGACCACGACCGCCGCGTGTACGACTGAAGAGGGAGCGACGGCTGTAGGCTGGAGAGTCGGACACAGGAGTTTTTTTGGAAACATATTTGTTTGTTTATATTTGGTTTTAAAGTGGTGTTCCTGTGTCATCTCCACAGCTAGTTTGCTTTGATACTTTTTCTTCCCTCTAAATTTTGTTTGTGTGTAAGCTTTGTCAAAATTTTGAGTTAAGTTCTTAAGCGTTATGCGGAAGCAGTTACCTGCATCAGTCAACCGACTGCATGAAAGGAGTTTTTAAGATAAGAGCACGCATGTCGTAATTGAAGATTTGGTACGCCCGCTAAATTTTAAAGAGTGATGGCTATAGGTTAGAGCGATATGACCTATGATAAGGTGTGCGGTTGGTATGCTAGCGCTCTTTTTTTTGGATGAGAGTAAGATGTCGTGCTAGAGCGCACAGCAAAGTCATGTGCGTTCTTTAAAAACCTGGGCTGACATGAAACTACATCCAGCAAATGAGCGTGTTAGTACACCAGGTTTACTTCATTTTGTTGTTTTAGTGATTGCTTATAAGGATCATATGATCGCTTTAGCTGAGGGAACTGCGTTCACCAAATTTTGCGACTAGATATATTTCTAGGATTTATACAACGCAGTTTGATTTGATGTGAGAGAGTTTTGTTCGCGTCAGGGTGTCATAAAAGTAGGTACTCTCGACCACACCTTGCAAGTATGTATTGAGAGAATGAAGAAAGCGCCCAGATAACTTGTGTATAGGGTATGGCAGCATTGGTATGAAACCTTTGTATTTGGTTGTGTTTCATGAAATTAGTCGGGAAATTAAATGTCAGTTACAACTTAGTAGTGGGGATGGTTGGAGAAAGCTAGTTGTGAAAGAGTGATTCTCGTTTATGGGGCCAAATTGTATTTGCCTTTGTGTGCTTTTCTCACACGGCAATTTGTTCCATCTTTAGTAAGCATCTCCACAGCCATGATTGTTGTAACTTTGGCAGCACAAAATTGTTTCAAAATTTTAGCGTACAGGTTTCTCTTTTGTTTGTGTTTTGAGAAGCCTGGAGGGTTTTAAGCGGGTCCAGTGTGCTTGACTGCAGCATGGTATTGTGTTGTGTGGTTCGCCTTGCTGTTGTCGGTCATTGTGAGCTGGATTGGGAGTTGGTTTCGAGTACGCAGCTGGAGAGAAAAGCCAGGCCTTCGTCCTCGTCACCACCCATTCTCTTCGTGCCCAGCGGTTGGGAGCGCTGGCCAGCCGAGATTTTCCGGGCGGCGGAGGAGCTGTTAGGTTTGGCCTGGGGATTCATCTCTCAATCCCTTCGGCGCCCAGTCTTACCGACGCTGTCAAGTATTTGAGTGATTATTCCAGACCAGGCGGCGGGCAGAGGCGAGTTCACGTCCTTCAAAAGCGGACCTTTTGTCGTCGCTTCAAGCAGAAGCGGTGACTAATGGACTCGGCGACTCATCGGGCGACGGCAAAGCTGTCGTGGCTGGCGCCGGAGCTGACAGAGGAGCGGTGCTCCCTTTTGATCCCCAATCACCAAGCCGACCGGCCGACTGCCTATGCTCGTCAGGCACTGTACGTGCTAGCCGGAGGACCAAGACGTCGTGTCGCCAAGACGCCATTAGCCGTTCGAGAGAGGCCAACAAAGACGGCGTCTTTCTGAAAGAGACCGCGACGGACAGCGCACGCAGATCGCCCCGCTAATTGGGCGAGCTGTGCAGTGGGCCCTTTGAAGTATGCGGCCAGGATCGTGGGAACGCTCGTCTAACGGCACACCCACGACGAGGACCAGCCCTGCTGGCGCCACCACCGTGCAGTGTTCACGTGGACCTTGTATGCTCGCCTCCCTCACCTGTGTGTGCGTGATTGGTGTTCGACTCTGAGAGGAGGAGCCCGACAGGGCATAAAACGACGCGGAGAGTGCTGGACATTGCGCTCTCTGAACCTGGCTCTGAACTATGTAGTGTTCAACCACCACACTCGTGGTTTGTTAAACCACTATCCCTTCTTTTCTGTAAATAAGTGTAAATAATGTCATAAACCTCTGTTATGTTTCTCGTATCCTCTTGTCAGCGTTCAGTTCCTCCATCCGGATGCCATCACCTGCAACATCTTCCTTTCCATCTCTTACAACTGGTGGCAGCGGTGGGATGCCATCAGGGAACGACCTTCCTTCCCATCTCTTACAAGCCATCGACTCCGGGAGTGTCCCGGTAGCTGAGCAAGGCCAGATGAGGGTCTGTTGCTTTGCGAAACAACTCCTTGATGGTCCTGACCATTCTCTCCGCCTCTCCGTTCGATTGCGCATAGTGCGGGCTGCTGGTGACATGGTCAAAGCCATAAGATGCCGCCAATGCTGCAAACTCGCGTGAAGAGAACGGTGGACCGTTGTCTGATCTGACTTCTCGTGGAATCCCATGCCGGGCAAAAATGCTTTTGAGAACGTCGATGACTGCCTGAGCTGTTGTGCTCCGCAAGGTTACAACTTCAGGGTACCTGGAGTGGTAGTCCACCACCAAGATGAATGTTTGGCTGCGGAGGCGGAACAGGTCCATGCCGACAAGTTCTCAGGGATGTCCAGGTAGGACCGTGGAGACCAGGGGCTCTGCAAGGTTCACCCGAGTGGAAGCACATTGCTCGCAGTTAGTTACCAGAGAGGTAATGTCTGCCGAAATGCCAGGCCACCAAATGGACTCTCGAGCGAGATCTTTCGTCCTGTTGATGCCATGATGTCCTTCGTGCAACAGCGTCAAAACAGCCGGCTGAAGAGAATGCGGGATGACCATCCTGGCGCCTTTCAGTAGAACACCGTCGCAGACAGAAAGCTCATCTGCTGCTGAGGCTTACTGGGAGAGGTGCAGTGGCAGTTTGGACTTCTGTGGCCAACCATTCTGGCAGAAGGAGGTGAGGGCTCTGCATTCGCCATCGGACTCTTGTGCTTGTCGCACATCCTCTGGGCTTAGTGGCAAGGCTTCTGACATGCCGCTGACCACTTGAGCTGCAAACAATTCCACGGTGTCCAGGAGGAGGGACGCCTTTTGGGTGATGCGTGACAAGGTATCTGCTGTAGCTAACAGCTTTCCTGGCACGTGGAGCATTCGGAACTGGTATCGCATGGTCTTTAACCTGAGCCTCTGTAGCCTCTGTAGGAGGCAGCATGTCCAGCTCCATCTTGCCGAAGAGAGAAACGAGTGGTAGGTGATCTGTCTCAACATCGAAGGTGATGCCGCGGACGAATTCGTCAAATCGTTGGATAGCCCATGTTGTTGCCAACGCTTCCTTTTCTGTCTGGCTGTAACGCTGCTCTGTCTCAGTCATCGATCTCGAAGCAAACGCAACTGGGCGGCGCTCTCCAGAGGGCTGTGTCTGCAGCAAGACTGCGCCCAGTCCGAATGAGCTTGCGTCAGCCGAAACTGTGGTGGCGTATGATGGATGGTACTTGGCCATGCAACGGTCTGATGTCAGGAGTTCCTTGATTTTCTCGAATGCAGCATTTTGTTCATGCTGCCACACCCAAGTCGCAGACTTGTTTAGAGGTGCTCTGATGGGAGCTGTGACCTCCGAGATGCAAGGCGAAAACCGGGCAAGATGGTTCACCATTCCGAGCAGTCGCCGGACACCTGCGATGTCGGTTGGAGCCTCCATGGCTTTGATTGCTTCGACCTTGTCTGGACTTGGCCTGATACCTTGTGCTGAAACGATGACTCCTAGGAAGGAGACTTCGGAGACACCAAAACGACACCTGTCTTGGTTCAACGTGATGCCTGCTTTTGCAAGGCGAGACAGCACCTGGTTCAGTCTGGCATCGTGCTCCTCGCGGGTGCGCCCAAAGACCAGAATGTCGTCTATCATATTGGCGACTCCTTCCTGGCCCTCCAGGATCCTGGCCATCTGTTTTTGGAAGTACTCCGGCGCGGAGGTGATGCCAAAGGGGAGCCTGCAGAAGCAGTATCGGCCAAATGGGGTGATGAACGTTGTGAGCTCTTGGGAGTCTGCAGATAGTTTAACCTGATGAAAACTGGCTGTTGCATCCAGCTTGGAGAAAACTGTTGCGTCGCCAAGGAGGCCAAGGACTTGCTCTACCGTTGGTAGGATGTGGCGTTCCCGAAGGACAACCTTGTTCAGCTGAGTCAAGTCAACGCACAGCCGGTAGGGACCACCGGCTTTCCGTACTACAACGAGACCAGAGCCCCACGGGGTTGGGTTGTCGACCCTGCGGATCACGCCTCCTTCCTCCAGTTTGTCAAGCTCGTGACGGACGGCCCCACGTAGCGGGATGGGAATCCTGCGAGGCACACTTAGGGAGAAGGGTACGGCGCCAGGTCTCAGAAGGATAGTGTACTCGTCCTTGAGGGTGCCCAATTCCTGGAAGAGCTCAGCACGCAATGTTGCTTTCGGAGTCTGAAGTTCGTCGAGAAACTTTACAACTTCCAGAGCTTGAAGTGCCGGCAGTCCAAGAAGAGGTACGGGGAGAGACTGGATCACGTACAAGCGCTGAGAGCTCATTTTCCCGTGCCACCGAAGTCTCGCCATGTACGAACCCAGCACGCGTAGCGGCTGACCGCCAGGTCCGGTGAGCAGGCTGTTGACGGGGTCGAGCTTGGCCGGCAATGCAGGGAAGTCGCTCGGAACGGTGGACACCTCGGCTCCGGAACCGACCTTGAACTGCACTGTGTAGTTGTCAACGGTGATGTCGACGAACTTTGCCGCGGCAAGCGTCCCGACAGCGTGTAGCTGAATGGAGCCGAGCTTCTGTTTTGCCTGCCGCATGCGGCACACTTCCGCGTTCTAACTGCCCTGCTCGAAACTCCGTCTGCAACTTCTGCAAAAAGAAAGGACACTTTGCGGAACAACTCCTTGATGGTCCTGACCATTCTCTCCAAACGGAGAGACGGAGAGAATGGTCAGGACCATCAAGGAGTTGTTTCGCGAAGCAACAGACCCTCATCTGGCCTTGCTCAGCTACCGGGACACCCCCGGAGTCGATGGCTTCAGCCCGGCCCAGCTCTTGATGGGACGACAACTCCGAACCAAAGTGCCGAAACAGGACTCCCAGTTATGTCCTCACTGGCCTGGGTACGACCTGATCAGGTCAAAGCTACAGTGCTTAGCCCAGCACGTCGACCACGAAGTTATGTCGTGGAAACGGAGCAGGGTGGCGTCCTACAGCGCAACCGGCGTCACCTAGTGCCTTTTGCACCTCCTGCGCCAAGGGTGGAACCACCGCTGTCTGAGGAGCAGGAGCCACAGCGAACACTGCCCCCTCTGGTACCCCAGCGAACTACTACAGTGCAACCACCCGATTCCCTTGGACTGCCCCCTGCAGACAGTGACCGCAGTGATGGTGTGACACGAACACGTAGTGGCCACCGTGTTGTGCCTTCGAACCGCCTGAACTTGTGATGTGCAGTGTCTTGCGTCCTCCGTCTTCCGTCTGGTCTTCAAAGGTGGAGATGTAGAAGTCGCCACCCTTCAGTCATTTAGTTCTGCTGCCACTAGCATGTGGCGCCCCTGATATTGTATATATTCTGCCCCGAATAAAGTGGGAGGGCCCCTTTCGTTAGCTGAGCAGCTGTCGTGCGTATCGTCTCTCTCCGCAGGCACGGGCCGCTCGTGCTCCGGCACGCTCGCGCGGCACCTGTCACAAGACATGGTGTCAGAAGTGGCTGCGTAACGCCCCCTGATCCCGAACTCGCCCGTACCGCACGACGATGGCCCTCGACGGAGTGGCGCCGAAAAAGCTGAGCCTCAACCTTCAGCCGCCCGCACCGTTCGACTTTGTGAACCCGGGAACTTGGCCAGCATGGCTCAGCCGCTACGAGGACTACGCCGTCGTTTCCGGCCTGAATCAAGCATCCGGCGACAAGCAGGTACGCTCGTTGTTGTACTGCATGGGGCCGGAGGCCCGCCCACTTCTTGAGACGTTCTCGCTCGACACTGCATCACTCGCCTCATTTCAAGCGGTTGCCGCCAGCTTCACCGACCACTTCGTGCATCCGGCGAATGGACTGTACGAGTCGTCGCGTTTTCACCGGCGTGTTCAGTTACCTGACGAGAGCGTCGACGCCTACTACGCCGAACTGTGTAGAATGGTGAAGCGGTGCAACTATCCGTCAGCTGAGGTGGAGCAAAGGCTTGTACGCGATAGATTCATCGTCGGCCTCCGCGACTCGCGCCTTTCGGACCAGCTTTGCCGGAACGCGAAGTTGACGCTCAAAGAAGCATGGATGCAGGCCCGTCAATCAGAAGACGCCGACAAAGAAAAAACGTTGCCTCAAAACTGCGCAGAGCACTCCCGCGAGCTACACCTCGACGCCGTACGAGATAAGAAGTTCGCCTCTCGCCGCCGCAACTACGATAAGCGGCCTTCGCCCCCGCGGAAAGCAGAGCGCTCCTGCCAGCCGTCAACATGTGAATTCTGCGGCCGCGCGCCACATCCACGTTTAACTGCCCTGCTCGAAACTCCGTCTGCAACTTCTGCAAAAAGAAAGGACACTTTGCGGAACAACTCCTTGATGGTCCTGACCATTCTCTCCGCACATTATCATTCTCTCCGCGCATGACCTTACACATTCTGGTGACCTGTGATGTCATGATGTTGTCGTGAGGTGACACCATCATGCGATGATTTTTGCATCACTCCTGTTCAGGCTGATGCCGCGACACGCCAAAGCCACCAAGGGCCAATTTTCAATTTTAGGCGGAAACCTTAGATGCCTCATCAAACGTGAAACTCGACCGTTTGCATCCTGTGTCGGCGACGTGGAGTGATCGGAAAAAAAAAAAACACACCACGTGATGACAACGTACATGACGTCAGACATCGCCAAAAATTGTTACGTGATCAAAACATCACGAGACTTCATGTGATCACGTCATCACAAGACATCTGAGCTTGGGGCAATGTGGTCTCATCATGGAGGCAAGGCCAAATCAGTTTCGCACTGCCTCGGTTTTCGGAGGCTGTGCAAACCTCGTTAAGTATACCAAGTTTTAAAGGGTGGTGTGAATGGTGGCTGGCTGGGGCGTCAGCTGGCCCCCTTCATGCCACACCGGCACCTGCCCACGCCCAAGCTACACCAGTGCTCTCTCCCAGCCGCAACGCAACACGGGTTCGCACCCACGGTAACAGCCTGCTGACAGTCATAGACTGGCGGGTGAGATCAGTACATCGACTGAGAAGAAAAAGAAGATGGCCTTCTCCGTTAAATCATCTTAGGCGGATGAATAGGGGACCCTGTGAGTTTATAACGAGGTATCTAAGCCTCTCGCCTTAATAAATTTGCGTAGTTAATTACAGGTTAAGCTGCAAGTGTGAAATCCCGGCCCCGTAATCACAGTGAGGACACAGATAACAAAGGTCCAACTTGGCTGCAGCACCACAAACATCAAAGCCATGAAGTAGCACCAAGCAATGAACGAAAGTGTTGGGGGTCAACGTCATAAAACCACCATACGATTATGAGAGACGCCTTAGTGGAGGGCTTCAGAAATTTAAGCACATGGGCCTAAAGTATTTTCGCCGCAATCGAAAATGTGGCTGCCGCGGCTGGGA